TGGTATCAATTTTAATATAAGCATCGTTTGAAAAATGGGGTATTGATTTTATAGGAGCAATCACTCCAGCCTCACGTAATAGACAAAAAAGATATATTTTGGTAGCAATTAATTATACAATAAAATGGGCTAAGGCTGTAGCAACAAAAACTAATAATGCCAATACAGTAGCGACCTTTTTATATGAGAACATTATTACTTGGTTTGGATGTTTCAAAGAATTGATTAGTGGCCAAATAGAGCAGGTCAATTAAATTCTTTAGCAATATTTGAGGTATACCATCAACTATCAACAAGACAATTGGACTTCTTATTTGTCATTGCCAGAGTTTGTATATAACAACACAATCCATGCATCTATATAACAAACGCTATTCTACTCAAACTACAATCATCATCCAAAGTTGGATATGATAGAACCTTCAAAGTTGGTAATTCCAGCAATAGAGAAGTTTGCTACAAAGATGACCAAACTTCAAGCAATCATAAAGATTTACCTAGAAAAAGCTCAACAATATTATAAGCTACTGGTAAATGAATTGAAGAAGGAACATCTTCTATTCCAAGTTGGTGACAAAGTATGGCTTCTTCGACGCAATATAAAAACCAATAAACTATGTGATAAGTTGGACTATTGAAGGTTGGAACCATTTATGATTCAGAAATAAATTAATAATGTAACTTATTGCTTGGAATTACCTTCATCTATAAAGATTCATCTAATCTTTCATGTTTTACTTTTGGAAAGGTATAAAGAATCGAACATACAAGGTCAAAGACAACTACTACCTCTTATAGTTGAAATCAATGATCATGTTGAATTTGAGGTAGAAGAGGTATTAGATTCAACAATAAGATATGGAAGACTTGAATATCTAATCCATTGGCATGGATATAATATCAACAATCACACATAGAAACTAACTGGTAATCTTGTAAATGTACAAATGAAGGTTCAAAAGTTCTATCAATGACATCCATCCAGACCAAAAGTAACAAAATGAAGAATAGTAGCTTTGTAAGATGGCTTCATCATGAAGATTCTTAATTCTTGGCTTCATAAAGAAAGGGAGGAAGTAGCCTTTGAAGAGGCAATTTTTTTAAATGTTTAGAATAATAGAAGTCAGTAGTTCAAGTTCACGACCATAATATGTTTACATTCTTTTAATCTTGTCTACTTTTTGTGATATGGATAGACAAAAAATAGACACCCTGCCAATCAAACCATCTCAACCAAGTCAATGAAGAAGATTCCAAAAGCTTTCTAGGACCTAATATATATAAGACTCGAGGCTTAGAGGATCTTTAGTCTTGACAACTCACTTCTTGTAGTCTAGGTAGGACCTTCTTGCTTTGTATCCAATTATTGTTTTAATGTTGAGCTAACTTCATTTTCTTGGTCTTGAATCCTTATCTTGTATATGGTCCCTAATAATAGATTAGTTAAAAATATAATTTTAAGTCATTTTATTATACAAATATTAAGGTTAGAAATTCTTTTTTACTATTTAATTATTTATTATAATTTAGAAGTATAAGTACAAAAGTCTTATTGGAAGAAAAGTCATAAAAATGGAGTCTTAGTAAGTCTTGGAGGCAATTATCTTAGTTAGTTTTTTATTTTTACTTATTATTAAGTATTAAAGATTAGTTATTGAGACCAATATCTTCATTGGCCTCCTATCTATAATTATTATTTACAAAAATCTTATCAATGATTAGTTAGTATTTAAAAAAAACATAAAGAGAATTTCATGTCTTTATTTAATTATATAAAAAATAGGATTTTTTAGTAGAGGTAAATTAATTTTATTACAATAAAAAATCACCAAGATAAAAATATAGCTTTAAATAGATATTATTATTATAAAAATATTATATATTTTTTTAGAATTTTTTTATAATTATTTTTAGAATTTTTCAAGAATTTTTTTAGAAGATTTCAAGACCTTAATAAAATTAAATTTTACTACCTTGGGAGCCATTATAAAGAAATAAAGCAAGATTTTGAGGCCATTCAAGTTTTTCAGTCTCATTGGATGTTTTTAAATACCATGGTGAAGTCAAAAATGCAAAAAAAAAAGTTTTACTAGTAGAAAATAGAAGGACTAGCAGTTAATCTAGTCCTTATAGAAAGAAAAGTGTATAAGTCCCATATAGATTATAACACCATGAATATACATAGGAAGATAAGACTAAGGCCTTGTGGCCTCTCTTAACAATCTATATATACTACTTGTGAGCCTTGATGAGGCTTAAATTCTTGATCTCTTAAAACAAGTCATTCTTGAAGTAAAAATTATTTACTTAACTTTTCTATTATTTACCTTCTATCTTTAATCTGTCATAACATGCTCATAGTAACTTCGATTTATATGTTTTTTATGTCATTTAAAAGATAAAAAAAATCTATTTAGAAATATTTATTTTTTATTTTTTATTTTTACTTTTCATTAAGTGAAATTCCAATAAACAGACTATGATTAGTTTTGTAATGTATAATTACTTGATTACATTTGTTTACTTGTTTTGTATTATTCTTCTTTGTTCTTGTTCTTACTACTTCTACTTTACATGATCAATTATAAGAAATTCTTAATTGAGGCCATCTTATAATTTGGATAGAAAGAAAAATTTATTCTTATATCCATTCCTATAGCTAATTAAAAATCTCAATAAATACTAATCAAACCATTAGTCTCAACTCAAATTTCTTCTACATTTCAATTTCTAAGAAATTAAGAAGTATATAAAATTTTAGAAAATTCAAACTCACCAATCAAAAAAATAGATTCTAAACCTCTTAGATGTTGGCCACACTTTTTTTCTAAGCCAGATGTTGAACTTTCAGTAGCAATTTTTCTTTACTAAATTATTCAATTACTTTAAAACTTAGCTATTATGTAGATTTTTAAGTCCAAATTTTTTGCACTAATTTTTGCTTTAATTGAATTAACAAATTTTTCAAGATCATAAAAATCCTCACTAATCCTAAATTTAATAAATCTAAGATCCTAATCCAATAAAAATTTCTTATCCTTGAATTTAACAATTCAATTAATATTAAAAAATTTAAATACATTGAAGAAAAACTCAATAACAAATTTACGAATTTCCACTTATAAATGTGCTACAACACTCACACCATACTCAAAATTATAAACCTCTTTTTATTTCTCAAAATCAAAAACCACTAAGTACATCTCTTACTTTGAAAAGCCTTCAAACACTTAATATATCTACAAATCACATGAAACCAATTCTAAAAAAACCCCTTGCCTCTTTGCTCTCAAATCCTTCTTTTTGATCAACCAAAGAACCTTAGAATTACAGTAGATATACAATTTTGTGCCTCAAGGTTTGATTTTAATCCTGATTAATAATTAGTCTTTTCTAGATATTAATTCTTGGTATTTTGAGAGAACTTTTGCTAAAACTATTCTTAACTCCCTCTTGTAGAAGCCTATATTATTTATTTTTTTAATCTATTTAGTTTTTCCTTATTTATGGCCTTACAAAGTAAATAGAAGCCTCTTTTACAATAAGGTAGTATAACTACTTACTAATTTTTACTACCTCCTTGTCTATTATCTATATTTCTAAGTTAATTTTAAAAAAATATTTTCATTTAATCTCTTCTATAATATAATCTTTCCTTTCTTCTTTCACCTAATGGCCATGTTACAAGACACTATTGGCTTAGGCTCCATCCTAGTGCATAATTAGAAATTTTTTGGTAAATTATTACACATAGGAGTGGATTTGATGTTATGGCAAAATTGAGGATTATGTGTGCTATTATCAAGAATATGGGGGTATCCTTGATATTTCAAGAAATCTCAAAGATGTTTTTGAAATTTTCGCAAGAATCAAAAGAAGAATGAAATCCAAGTGAACATCCAAAAGAGACTATTTTGAACACCATATTTTTCATTATGCACAATCAAAACTCTTGGTAAGGGTATTAAAACTAGTAACCATGCATACAAACAAACACACATGTTTTTAACAAAAGAGCCCTACACTCAAACAAACACACTCAAACAATAGCATACATGATATTGATTATTAATTGGACACAAATTACAATCAATCAAAACCAACATAATAAAAAGAGAAGGGTCCACCAATCTAAACTGCCGGTCCAAATTAGAGACTTGCAGAAGATTTGCCAACAAAATGGAAATCAAGGCAATTTCAAGAGACATTAATGGTTTTGGAAATGCCTTATATGATTGCAGGGCAACAGAGTAGTTGTATGTGGAAAAGTTTATTCGGGGCAGTTTAAAACTGGCAAAGTTGTTGGAGGCAGTCCCAATTGGCAGCTACAGATGACCAATATTTTATTCTATTTTTGTCCATCAGCATAAAGTCCTGTTGCAGGGATGATTCAACAAAACACATTATTTCTGATATTGTTTGATCAATGAAAATAAATATATATATTTATTGTATTTTTACTTTTTATAGTTCAATAAAATTGTTATCAACATTTTCTCGAAATATAACTTGAAAAACTAATATTTTTCTAAAACTTGAATCTTTAGAAAAATCCAACTGACTTTGTTGCTTAATTTGGTGAACCCTGATTCTCATTTATGCAATTGAACATTTTTTTAATGTAAATTCTTCTCTAATCATATATATAATGCATGACATTATTTTCATCTGTACCAATTCAAAACTATAAACATTGGAAACGACCCATAATATCAGCAATATTTATTTCAAAATATCGAACTTATTGCCAGCAATACCGACACAATTATGTTCTTGTGCATCCATCCATCCAAAGCAACCAGGAAGAAATAATTCTTTAGGATGACAAAATATGTCCATGATTTGATATCATTCGCATAACTTACAACGACTCTTATCTTGTATCCCATTCACAGACTTGCACGCATCTTGAAGCAGTTATCTCGATCGATGAAGAGAAAAAAGAAAACGCATGGAATTAAAACCCTACATTAAGCCCTAAAAAAAACTGTTTGCAGCAGTCGGAAAGGAAAGTCTGCACTGAATTTTCTCTTGTGCTGGAGGCCATCGAAATCCAGTACAGACGCGGATCTCTTGATTGACCGCTTCCGATAAACCTTCGTCAGTTTGTGAAGAAAAGTCGTCGTCTGACGGACACTTGATTCTTCGGAGCCTTCGAGGATTGTGTCGTCGTCGTTCCTCGGAGTCCTGTTCGTCCCCAGTTCGACAGTTCGAGAAAAACCTTCACGGGAGAGGTCTCATGAGCAACCTGCGTCGACGTTGAAGTTCGGCAATCTGATGCTATGTCTTGTTTTTTACAAGAATACAGTACTTGATACCCACCTCTGTCGCAGAAGGCACCTGTCGTTTCTAGTGGAATGTAACCAACGAAGAGTGTGTAGGTCTTAGTGATTCAATGTGTCGCTTGGTTGCTGTAGACCATTATGGATCGTGAACATTATGGATTGCTATTTAATGTCATGTGGATTCCGTTGTTGTTTCTGGCTTGGCCATGGATAAGTCTTCGCCGACTGAGGGCTGCGCACACGAGTTTCAGTCGCTTCATCGTGAGGACCTCCTTTCCCTGCTATGATTTTTGACAAGAGGATTAGAATTCTATTTGTTACAATAGCCATGACCGTAGCTGAATATATGAACATTCTCTACTTCAGAAACTCGATGCCGACAGGCAGATAGATGAGTCACTCCAAAGATGTGTGAGGGGAGGAGTTCTAGCTTTCATGAACGGGAAAGGTGCATGAAGAGGACAAACTTGTGTAGTATGAGAATTGAGGTTATAAGGAATGCTCTTTTAGAGCGGCAAACTTGGTTCATGGTTTGGTTTCGCATGATTGGCATCCTAAAATCAACTGAGGTAAGAGTTGTGGTTATTTTCGGAGTCGTGGCTCGTTGTATATCGAGGAAATCACAATGACTTGGACTACCTTGCGAATCTGCTTCTTGTGTTTATATTTTGCAACAAATGTTGTTTTGATGCTTACAGCAAGAAGCTTTTTGTGTTTCTCAAATGAGGGCGCAAATGTATCTGTCTCCTGTGAAAAGAGACACTCCGGAACCTGTTTGAGTGGTTGCTTGTGAGCTATTGGTTTGATTTCCGTCCAACGTGGTTTAGCTTGTGCGATAGGTATCTTTAAGATGAGCCCCGCGAAGTTATGTCCACCAATGAGGGCTTTGCATGTGAACTCATAGTTTTTCAAGGACCGTATTATTTTAGTTTAGTGTTGTTGTTGAGCGATACTGGCGTGACCATGGTTACAATTCCATCAGCCTTGGATTAAATTATTGGTTTGTGACCAATTTTACAGCATAGGATTTTGCTTAGCTGTCGGTGTATGATGAATGTTTTGACCCTCGGTGAATTTATATAGCAATACCTAAGATAATATTCCTCGTATTCGTGAAGATTACCACGCTCTGTTTCGTATGGATGTGTGATTACTCAATGCTCATTTCCTCTTATTACCAATTTTTGCACTGCAGGTTTCCTTGTACACCTCTGCTGCTACTTGAATCCTAAAGTGTTTATTTTCAAACCAATATTCCACAGAAAAACGCTTGGAGTTTACAAATGGCTGCTGCCGACTACTCCAAAACTGATCACTCCAAATTTGTGTTCTCCGAAGCTGACTACTTGGATCTTTCAATAAAGTCTATTCACGGAGGGAATTGCTTGGTACATGGTGGAACGCTTGAACTGTTCGAAAACCTTTGTAAGTATTTAGTTGAGGAGCTTGCGAAAACGAAGAACTTCTTAGAATCTCGATCTAAAGAGTTATCCAAACTGCATGATGTTTGTGATAGGCGGCGAGTGGCTCTGCTACAGCTGTACCTTGTAATTAAGCAGGCTGAAGATCTGCTGCAGAAGTGTTGTGAAAGCCAGGAATCAGCATGGCCCGAAAGAGCACTTACATTGCTTGGAATCAGGGAGGAGATTTTAGATATTCTTCTACATTTATGGTGGTGGGAAGCAATACTGGATTACGTATGGATCATTTCTACTACGAGTGCGTCGTATTCACAAATGCGGGAGGTAGAGGTGGAACATTTGAAGAGAGAAGTAGAATTAGAACATGTGAAGCTTGCAAATCAAGCCTTCGAGACAATGCTGGCTCATTTATCTTCTAGAGGCAGCAAGCTCCAAGAAGCGGCTGACAAAGATAGGGAACATCTACTAAATAAGCTTCTGGAATTACAGACAGCATGCACCGGTAGATCTGAAGAAAGCCATGCGGACCTGCTTTCACTACAGGTGTTGTCTCTGCTGAAGGAAGACGAGGACGTGAGTAGGAACAACCCCAAGCTGAATGAGTACACATGCAAGGCAGCCATAGGACTAGGTTGCTTTGGACAAGTGCTTCAAGTGATGTGGTGTGGTTACGATTGTGCTGTGAAGATTATTGACAATCCAGATGATCGGTGCGAATCTGATAATTTAGGAAGGTTTCATCATCCACACATTGTGCAATTTTATCGCCACTGGAAGACCGGCCCCTCCAGCAACCCAGACCTACCTCCTCGATCTCACATGCTGATGGAACGTATGCCTTCAGACTTAGCGGAGCACATTCGCCGTCTGAAGGAAAGAAAAGTTTCTTTTTGCGGGAATATTGAAGATTTCACAGATAATTCTGAACGAACCCCAGTGTTGCCCTTCTCAATTACAGTGACCATTGACATCATGCTCCAAGTTGCAAAAGCTATGTGGCAGATGCACAGTCAAGGCGTAGTTCACAGAGATTTGAAACCCGGCAATGTGCTAGTGAGACAGGTGCGTGTGCCTGAGCTCGCTTCTCTGGGCTTCCTAGAGGTGAAATTGGGAGACTTTGGACTTTCCAGGGAGAACATGGTATCTTCGCATCCAAACGTGCTGACTGAAAATGTAGGAAGCTCTCTATATCGTGCACCAGAGTTGTCATTTAAGGAATATGTACGAGGCGGTAAAAACTATCCCTTTAAAGGTGACGTGTGGAGCTTTGGCATCATGTTTGCAGAGATTTTAAGTGGAAAAATTCCGTATGGAGAATTCATGCGACTGGGTGATCTGAAGGACAAATTAATGAATGGTGCACGGCCATGGATACCAGAGCATTGTCCAGACTACTTGAAATTTTGTATCCAGAGTTGTTGGGATTACGATCCTAAGAAGCGGGCAACATTTTCAGATATTTGGGGGATGCTTAGGGTTGCAAAACTACGGAGCTTAGGTATTTTGCAACAAAACTATGACTTGTTTGCGTTTGAGGATCACAAGGGCGATACCAGAATACTTACCACAAACCCGACAAATGGAACAGCACTACCAGAACTGCCAGAAACATCACTCGTACCTCAGGTTGTTTCAAGAGCCGTGGCCATGGCCGACTACTCTCAGGTTGACTACTACAGAGAAGCTTTATCGTCCATAATGCTGGTACAGAACTTAGTAAATGGCCAACAGGTCCAAATTAACTCGCATCAGTGTCAATATCTATCTGCACAGTTTGCAGACACAAAGAATTTGCTGAAAGCTAAGGCTGTCCGTCTCAGGTCCATTTCCAACTGTGACGACATCCGACGAAAAGCTCTGTTGAAGATGTGTTTTACGATGAAGCGAGCTGAGAAGCTGGTGCGGAATTGCTGCTGCGAGCTGGAAACTTGGCTGGAATCAGCAGTAACTTTGGCACACATCATGGACGACATTGTGGACATCCTTCTGGATTTGCGATGGTGGACGTCAATGGTGGATATTGCGGTTGCATCAGTGACGTGCCTGTCAAGCGACCAGCAGGTTGAATTAGGTCTTCTAAGAGATGCAGAAGCACAGCTTGAAAGGTTGTTCAAAGAGCTACATTTGCCCAACAATGTCCTGGAAGGTGCTGCTATCGAAGATAAAGAACAGCTATTGCGGAGGGTGCGGGACTTGCAGAACTCGTATGCTGGCACAAACCTAGATGACCAACAGAACCTCGAGTACCTGGTAGCGGGTCATGTGCGGTCCCGGCTGGAGGACACTGAGAATGCGACGATGATAGATTTGGATTTAAATGCCTACGAGGAAGGGAAGTTTCTCGGAATAGGTGGTTTTGGCACAGTTATGAATGTGAAATGGTTAGGGCGCAGATGTGCACTGAAAACGCTTAACCATGTGTCCAAGAAGGAGGCCGCCTTTCTAAAAGTTTGTCAGCACCCACACGTTGTTCAATTTCTCCGGTATTGGGAAGCTCCTTTTGGGTCTAAAAGTCATCGTGTATCTCAAGCTGACGAGTGCATGCAATCTCAAATTTTGACGGAGCTTTTGCCTACGGATCTTTTCAAACATCTGAAACTAGTGGCGGAGCTCAAGGAAACGAGTCAAGAATCAAAATCCATGTTTGGGTCATGGTGGAGACCTCAATCCACTTCCGAGTCGCCAATTACTGATGATGTTGTTATTGATGTTATGCTTCAAATTGCTAAAGCAATGTGTCATCTGCCAAACAAAGATGTCGCACACATGAACCTGAATCCTCATACCGTTTTGGTTAGAGCAGTTAGTATGGATGAAATACCAGAGCTCAACTCCCGCGGACATTTACATGTGAAACTAGCAGGTTTCAGTGTAGCAATGAGGAGCTCCGACGAACTTCCCTTCAATGTGGGCAGCAAAGTTTACGGCGCACCAGAGGTTTTCATCAAAGAGGGCTTTTCAAAGGAGACGTCTCCCAGTAAAGCTGATGTGTGGAGTTTTGGTATCACGTTCTCCGAGATTCTCAATGGAAGGCCACCATTCCAATTATCGAAAGATTTGATGCTTGGAGAATTGCAAGGTAAAATAAGAAAAGGTTTGAGGCCTACGCTGCCGGAGAATTGTCCAGATTACTTGAAGTGGTGCATTGCTAATTGCTGGGATCAACGTCCTGAGGACAGACCAAACTTCACAGATTTATTGAAGATTTTAAGACTAGCACAAGTCCGGAGCCTAGGTATCGTTAGCGACAACTACGACCTTTTCACTTACAGGACAAGGGATGGCATGAGAACATTACCCCCATCGAAGAAAACACCTGCATCTGTGCGTGCACTTGGACTAAATCCACTGGAAGGGTCTGAAAACACATCAAGCTTTTCTCTTGATCATCCAGGATCGTCATCGCTTGAATCCAAGAACAAACAATTGGTAAACTTCTGTATGTGACCACTATGGTGACTGCGGCTTCACAATTTTGCCTTCCCTCAAGATTGTATCGTATTCTCTAGTTATCATTCCTATGCTTTCATAGATCAAAAGAGACTAGGATATTCTTTTGTTCTACACATTTTTGTGCTTTCGGTTTTAATTAGTGGGTTTCAAAGGTTTTTAACTAGTGGGTTTGAATAACTGAACTTTTGTGAAAGTTAAGGACTGGGCACCTTTTGCAGACGGAGATGAAGAGATGAAGGTCTAATGTATATTGTGCTTGTAGGAGCAGTTGAATGCGACATTCCATTGACAATGGCAGTAACAATGTAAGAGTTCGTTGTCAAGAAAACCAACTGAGTTGGCCATTGCTTAGTCCATGTAATATGGAGGATTTTTAAATGAAGTAGGTGCATTTGTGAAGAAGGGACTATGGTAAGTGATGTGGCCTTTAGATCTTTGAAATTGCTGACTAGCTAATAATTTATTCACAAATTTATTAAAAGTATGTATTAATAGAGATGTTTGTTATTTTTTCTTTCTTTCTTGTAGTTTTTGTAATAAGAATGTAACATTTTTAAATGTGTTGCTTGCAACCAATTGCATTATGTATATATAAATTTACTTATGTATAAACTCATATATGTAATATCTAAATTTTGGAGTTTTAGATTTATGTATCCTAGTAGAATTTCATTTCAAAGGATTGTTCAATCCTTTTTTTTGAAGAATTCTTGTAATTTATGATATGTGCAATAGATTTGATTGATTGTGGGTTTACACAAAATGATTGCATTGTATATTTTAAAACTTGTTGATTTTGATTTGGTTTTAAAAATAACTTTATTATCTCTTTTGTGTATGTGTTTATATATATATATATATATATATATATATACATATATTTATGTATAATATTTTGTTGACAATGTATTAACACCTATTCATGTATTAAATTCTTTAATTTCAAAAAGATCAAAATATCTAGTTTTTACAAAATGTTGTAAAAATCAATATTATTTTGTCCTCTAAATGTTATAATGACAAATTAGAATAGCTATTGTGATGTATAAAGAAAATAGAGAATCTTGAATTATGCCTAAAGTATTAAAAGTTGATGATAAGATTGAAGATTTTCTTAATTTTACTCCCACATTAATTAATTAATTAATTAAAAACATAATCTAAAAGCCATTCAATAACTACAAGGCTTGTATATCAAATATCAAAGTTAGAAGATGTATTTAAAACAACTTTTTAGATGTTAAAATCCAATGAAAGAAGTTTTCATATCCAAAGTCATTGATAAATTTTGTATGAGTTTAAAAAACATCTTTGAAATTATTTGACAAAGATGTTTTTTTTATCTAACTTGTATTCACATATTTTTACTTACTTCTATATACTTAAATAACATGAACATTTAAAATTGTTTTCAAGCGTCATATTGTAATTTCTATAACATAGTAAGTCTTTAAAAAAATTTAAATAAAATTCTTATAAGTTTAATTATTATAAGTAATATTTTTTAATTAAAATTTATTCTATCAATAATAGATGTAAGATTTATATGAATGTATTTGATATAGATCATATATTTCAATAATAGATTATTTAGTTTTAAAATATTTTTAAATATATTAATTGATAATATATTCTTACATTTCAAACAATAGATGAAACATCTTAATTTTTTATGTCTTATTTTTTTCTAATGCATCTTTTATTCTGAATTCTTTGTAATTATTAATTTTAATTCAATAAAATAATCATTGTCTCCTTTTATATATAATTAATTTTTTATAATATTCTAAAAGATAAATATATAAAAATAAAATATATCTTTATAGATATTGGTAAATCCAAATATTAGGTTGCATCGTTAAATTTCTCTAACATAGTAAAAAAATCCAAAAAAAAAAATCTAATCAAATCTTAAGGTAAAAAAATAGATAATTGTAGCAAAAGTAAGATTCTTTGGTTAATTGAAATGTACAGTAAAAGAAGGAACTTTAGAAAGATTATACAAGTATTATAATTTATTTAATAGATTGAAGGTTATCAAAGTTCAAGTACATATGGGTAGCCATAGTTGATAGTTTAAGGGTCAACATAGATATTATCTTTTTACAAGGTTTTGCCAATTAGATTGAACTAAAAAATTGTGGGCTAATAGCCGACTTGAAGTGTAGAAGTTACTACATACTTTAGTACATATTAGCAATATATATAAGAGATCTTGTGGCTAGGAGTTTAACATCAAAGCTAGAGATGTAGGTTGCAAACTTCAAAGCATTTTTTTGGTTTTTTTACTCAATCTTTATAATTTTATTTTTCAAAAAAACTTGTAATTTTCTTTTTTTAATATCATATTAATATACATTAATAATTTGAAGCAAAATCAATAATAAATATAATAATTTATCATTTTGACATAATAATATTAAATTATTACATATATTTAGTTACATATAAATATCAAAGTATTATTAAAAATATTAATTTATCATATTTTAAACAAGCTTTTATCTATAACAGATTTTTTTTAAAAGTTATATTACTATGTGAATCCCACCAATAGTTTTTAATTGGTGGAATTAAAAAACATATAATTTTAAATTATTTAGATACAAAAATATAAGGATTAAATAGTATTTTTAATATTTAAGTATTTATTAGATTTTAGGAGGGTTTATAAGTTAAAAGAGTCTTAATAGAAAAAAAGTTATAAAAATAAAGACCCAATAATTCTTGGAGGCAATTATCTTAGTTAGTTTAGTATTTTTGCTTATTATTAGGTATTAATATTTGGTTATTGAGACCAATGTCTATACAGGCCTTCTATCTATATATATATTACTTATAAAAAAAACCTATAAATGTTAGTTAATAGATAAAATAAGCATGAAAAAGAACCATATAAAAATCATCCTTAAAATTCTTAAATTATATTCAACAATTGATCTCAATTTTTATTTAGAATGATTTATAATCTATTGAAAAAAAAAATAGTCTACAAAAAAATTATTCATAATAAACTTGCAATGAATGAATTTAATATTCAAAGAAAATTTTAAATTTTAAAATCTCTTCAAAAAAAACTAGAACTATGCAAATACATGTTAATTCTTCAAAATATAATATCAACTATAAAAAAATAAATATTATTTATTTTTTATATTTATTTTTTAATAATTTAATTCAAAATAAGATCCGATTTTGAATTAGATTTATAATGAGCATATCAGACAAAATGCATCATAAAAATAAATAAATAAAATAAATAAATAAAATATTATAAAATAAATATAGATTTTGTTAAAGAGAGATTTTTATTTAAATGAACCTATATAATTTATCAAATTCAATTAAGTTGTAATAAGTAAAGAAATAATTTTATGTATATAATATATAATATTAAAGAAGGTGGAATATTGCCTATTATTTATATTTTAGTTAGGATTTTACTATTAAATAAATTAAGTATAAATTAAATTTTAAAATTTGTTGAAAATAATTGGTAGTAAATCAAGATAAAATAAAGAGAATAATAATGAAAAAGTGATTTAAATCATTACACAAGAATATAAGAAATAATTTTTAAGAAGTCATTTTTACTAACTTAATACTTTATATTATTAAATATAGAATAGGTTGTATAATAATTAACAATTAAAATATCTTATTTAAGAAAAAAATGATTGATTTTTATTTTATTTTACATATTATGAATATTTATTAAATGAATTTTAAGATCCAAAATACTTTTATTTGAGTATAAGATAACCTTTAGAAAAAAAATTAAATAGGTTTGTTAGTTTTTTTTAACAGACTAAATAGTAACTATGTTAATTTCTAAAAGTGGTTTAGAATTAAATTAATTTTTTAAAGTCTATCATGCATTATGATTATAGTATTATATTATTTTGATAAATTCGTTTTGTATTTATAAATTTAGATGTCTTATTTTTTATTTAATAAATTTTATGTTTAATATATTTCTTCAAAAAATTATCGTTTCAAATTAAATTTTTTTAAAAATTTTACCAGAAAATAAAAAAAACAAATTAAAAGATTTTTTATTGTCTTTGAATAATTTAAAGATGCTAGATTACAATCTAAGATGGAAAAATTAGTATTTCACATAATTTAAGTAGAAATATGCAATAAATTATTTTAAATAGTAATTTATAAATAAATCTTTAAAAACTATATTTATATTAAATTAATTAATTAAATAAATAAATAGATTAATACCTCTTATAATAGTATAAGATATTTGATATTTCATTATATTTACAAAAGATATTTTCATGAAAAAACATCATAAAAAAATTATATTAGAATAAAGATACTCAAGCAATTTTTTAAGATTTAAAAATAGGATTTATAAAATATATTATTTTATTATGTATAGATTTTTTGAAGTTATTTTTTATAGAAATAAATAAGTTAGATTATTTTTTACATATATTAGTACTTAAAATTAGTAAAAATAATATAATTGATATCATTAATTATATTTAAAAAATATTTGATAACCAAGATTAATCAAATGATTTTCAAAAAATAATTCTTTATTATTTGGTATTATTTTTAAAAGGAATCATTATTCAAGAAGAAATTATATTATCCTCAAAATTAATTTTTTTACAAGAACTTAAGTACTTTTTTTAATAAATATCTTCAAAACTATCACATTTTTAAAATTTTATAGTTGTTACAATATAAAAAATAAAAATACTTATTGAATGTTTTGTCTAGATAATTTTATTTATAGTAAAAAAAATAATTATTAAAAAAATAGATTAAACATTCCTTTAGCTCAAATTCAAAATTTTCTATTAATTCTAAAGTTTTATTTTATAGATTTTGTTTGAATATGTGGACTTTTTTTTATTATAGATCTAAAAAATTTATTTAATAAAAACCTAGGTGAATTTTATTTAATTTATATATTAAAAAGTATTTTATAAATTCTAAAAAATCAATTGTAATTTTATTTATTTTAAATAGAATATAATTTCTTAATAATATAATATTTTAGAAACAACAAAATATTGGAATTTCTTTCAATAGATGATTTTTAGTTTCAAAATTTTATATATATATATATATATATATATATATATATAATTTTTTTCAATATAAGACATTCTCTTTTTAATCCTATAAATTTTTTTGCTAATAAGAAATATAAAGAATATTATTAGAAATTAATGAATTTATACCTAGAAAGTTAAAAAGAGCAAAATAAAGTTTATTTTTCCTCCTAGTGAAGATATGTTCCTGCTTTTTAAAGCAAATAATATTATTTGAAGTTCAACAATTCTTGAATAATTCTAATCTTGTCAATAGTTTATTCAAGAAAAGTTTTTTTTGACAAATGCCATTATAGGCATAATAAAACCAATAAAAAAATAATCAAGTAAAGGTGAAAAAAAAATAAGAACCAACTAAAAACCATGCTCAATTAAAAAAAACTTATTTGAATTAGTTTCTAATGAAAATTATAATATATATTTACTTGCCATGGCTATATTCTAGATCTTATATTTATTTATAAATTATTAAATAAATACATTGTCATATGTTTTTAAAAATATATGACAATATATCTAAATTGAATTTGATAAAATTAAACCAAATTAAAAAAATCAATAAATAAATACATTT